GTAAGGTCACAGACTTCCTTCTGAAGGCGCTTCCTCTCGGATTCAGACTCCGTGAACGTTCCATCCATCTCGCAACGTCTATCTTCGGTTTCCTTTATAGCAGCTTGGAGAGTAGCAACGCGATCCTCTGCATCCCTTTTCTGCTTCTTATGATCGTCACAAGCCTTCTGAACANTTGCAAGCTNACGAGTCAGCGAGNGCACANTCACCTCATAGTCAATCGCGAGCTTGTTAAGCGAAGAAAGGAACTGCCAAACCGAGGAACAGATCACGGAAAACAAGTTACAAGATCAAGAAGAAGGAAAAGGCAAATCGCTATCTCACTAGAGTTGCCACGAAGTCGTACCGTCATACAATCGAAGGCAATGCTTGAGTAAGATCTCTTCTTCGACATCTCTCCTGGAGGGGGAAACTNAGTGCCTGGGAAGACAATCTGGGACAAATGCGACGCCGCCCGTGCAGCATCACCAAAGGACTCCTTCGTACCAAAAGGAATAGTGGAAGTCATTACCACACGATCAATTCGAGGAGCTGAAGCGTGCCTCGATCTGTTCAAGTCCTCTTTGCCAACACTGCCTTTCTCCTTCTCTTCTCGCGAACGCATACGATTTGCTCCTGAGTGATCATCCTTCCCCTCATGTCGTCGTGACGCCTATGCGATGATTCAGATCGACGATCGGTGATGANAACAACATTTCGCTCTAACTCAGGACGACGCGGCCTAGGTGCAAGGGTTCCAGTAGTGCCAGCTCTAGGGACTGACGTCAACGGTCTAGTTTGTTGAGACACTCTCGTGTTCAAATCTGTCCTGGTCTCGGCAGCTCTCCTCTCACGAGCAGATGGTTTCCTCGCATTGTCTGACATCTCTAGTGACGAATTCAACAAAGTAACTCCAAAGCAACGAACAAGCAACTCAATTCTCCTCTCCGCTGCACCAATAAGCAANGATCGAANTCANTGNCGNTCCACAAAGCCAGCCTTTTTACTAAGCCGTCGAGCCGCTGAGTCGCCGAAAAAAAAAAATCGAGTTAACTCAGTGAGTCAACTCGGGCGAGTCAACTCACTGAGTCAACTNGTCCGAGTCAACCCAGTGAGTCAACTCGTNCGAGTCAACTCACTGAGTCAACTCGTCCGAGTCAACCCAGTAAGTTGACTCAGTGAGTCAACTCGCAAGGTTTGAAAAAAATGCCGTTTCTTCCACCGGATCTCTCTGTGCCATCGTCTCGGCTCGTCCCCACCTCGTCACCGCTCTCTCTCTCTTCTCCTCGGTGTAGATCCACCACGAAACCTCCGTTGAAGACCACGGATCCCGATCGCGTCGCTGGACCGTCTCGAACCAACGGCTCGAACCGACGACAACACGCGAGCATCTCGAACCGACGACAACACGCGAGCATCTCGAACCAACGACAACACGCGAGCATCTCGAACCGACGAGTAGCTTCTCCTCTTGTCACGAACCGGCGGCGGCGAACAAGAAAAAAAAAAACCTACAAAAAAAATAACAATAAAATAAGGCGATAGAAAGAGAGAGAGGATTTTTTACCTTTTGCTTATGGAAAAAGCGAATTGGTAGAAAATAACT